TGAGGTTGCTGTGAGCTGTGATGCCACAAACTCTACAGAGGGTGACATAGTGAGACTCTGTCTCAAAAAATAAAATAAAATAAAATAGAATTTAGTTAATAACATTTCAATCCTCATCAAACCTCATGACCATTTCTGAGCTAGTATAAATCAGATATGTTGTATGAGGTAGTCTTGCCTTCTAAACCCCTTCTTTCCTGGAAATAGGAATCATTATAATGGAAGATGTAATAACAATAAACATTCACACTGAGAAAAGAATAAGCAATCAGCAAATAAGCAAGCAACTCTTTATCACTGGGTTTGGCATATCACTTGCCTACATAGATGTCACAATACAAGGCCTACTGTTGAATGTTGATGAGGTTTTGCTGTATTGTGAAGTGTAAACTTAGCTCAAAACAGAAAAAACATAAAGTAAGCTGTCTTATGCACATTCTGAAATATATGATCAATATGAAACTTTCAAGAACTTGGCTAAGAGGAATGCAAATAAAAGCCTCTTGAATTGTTATGCTTGACATGAAGAGACAGTCAGATATGTTCTCTTTAGTTACAGAATCTCTAGCTCATGTTCTAGGAAGGAATTGATTTTGAAAACAAAAACTGAGAAATAATCAGTGTTGCTTACAACAGTGTGCCATAATTCCATCACAGTTCTGCTGTTGCTGCTGCTGCTGCGTCTTGGATATGCATTGAGAGGGGTAGTTCCCCAGCCACAAAAAAACCCTCCTGTGGGTCATCCCCAGCCATAGAATGGACAGGTGCCAGACACGACTAGCTAACCCATGGCATGTGAAACCACACAAGTGGCTTTTGCACTGGTTACTCTCCCCTGCCTGAAAGCTCCAGCTTCCCTCCTGTTTCCCCATTCTCCCACTACATTCTTCAGGAAAGTGTTCCTGGGACTCTGAAGGGGCCATGCCCCAATTCATATATTCTTGTATTTGGATTATCGTATGTGATTCTCTGGTTAAAATCTATCTCCTCTGTGAACTTAAATGGCTGGAAAGCAGTATTCCCAGGGCCAAGCACAATGCCTGGAAGATAGAGGCTTCTAAATGTTGGTCGAACAAATAAAAGGATGTTTGCAGGGAATAGCAAAAGAGGATGTTGTGGAGGTTGTAAGAGGTTGGGTCATGGAATGTGAAAGGGTCTTAACCTTGAACCATGTTGCAAAGTTGGAGGGAGGGAGTGAACTTAATTTTTCTAGGAATGACATAGTTCTCTAAGTGGCTTCAACTCTGACTTCTATGTGTGATGAATTACATCTCATAGAAAAGAGATCAGTCTTCTAATAATCTATGCAAGTTGGTTCAGACCTGCAGGCCAAGGTCTGGAAAAATTCAGCCAGGGACCAATAGGACTGAAATAACCTCCTGCTCCCTAGAGATTAGGTATCATTGATCTTTCGTTCCCACCTGCTGTCACGTATTTGGGCCTAACAGTTCTGCCTGTGAGAAGAAGGGTAAAGCAAGCCAAATGTTTAGCTGGGGCAGAGACACAGTAACGCAAGGGTTAAGGCAGCATGCATGCCTGAGTCACGATCTTCTAGCAACCTGGTCCTTGAGCAACATGTTAGATGCAATCATGCGAATGAATTCTCCTTCCTCTGTGGTAAACCTTGGGAGAGAATTTACGTCCCATTATTTTCTGACCTCCAGAAGAGAATGTTTAATCAGTCATTTTAATATAAATGAAATTCCCAATCAAGTTATACTTCATCAGGATGCTGATAATTTCTGCCAGAAGCAAATCATACAGCCCATTCATGCCAGCACTCGGCATGGAAGACCAAACTGGTGAAGGAAAATGTCTGGGTTTTGCAGGTAAGAGGTATTTTACAAAGAAGTATTTTTAGAAGAGATTTAAAAACTGCTGGCAGTTGTTTACTAGACTAAGACTTCTAGGTAATGGTAGTACAGTTTGCAAATAAATTTGAAGATCCCTAATGTTTGTTTCCTAGTTCTTTTCACCGTCATCATGACTCTTAAAACCAAGTCTCTGAGTAAATATTTTCGGATGTCAGTTCTCAAAGTGAGGAAGAGGGCAAAAGGGGGAGGAAGAGAGAATCATCCTTCTCTTCTAATTAGGAAGAGCACATCATACCTCTCAGTATCTCACAGTGTCTGAAGATGACTTGTGATTAGTTGTTCATTTTCCTTATCTTTTCATAGAAAGGATATGAGGTCACATTAAAAATACATAAAATTTTAGAAAGAATTAACTGAAGGCATTGCTGCAGAACGTGACAAAGGCAAAGCCAACTCAATGAGAAAATAAACTTGAACTTCACTCCAGGAACCAAAGGTTCGTAAAAACAATAAGCTAATTATCCAGAAATGTAGCTGCCCTTAATGCCTGGGCCCTCCTCCAGGGGGCGTGGTGGAGCACAGCACCAGCAACCTCCTCACAACAGGTGAGCAATAGCTGACTCCTGCCCCATGCTTTCTATTATACTATGATTGTCTAGTGTGAGCTAGAGTTGATATCAAAAGACAGGCTCCATAAAGAAAACGACATCTGGTTAGGGATTGAATGCTGAGTAGCCTTATGACAGAAAGCATGAAAGTTAATGAAAGGAGAGAGGCAGAGACAGAGGCATCAGAAGACTTCTGTTCAAGGCAATCTAGGCTTAATCCACAAATGCATCATACATGTCTCATAATCTTTATTTAAGTAGGCAGCCTTGTGCACTTCATCTATCAATACAGCCTTTGATGAATGGTGGGAGGCATTACAGAAGTTACAAGCACAGCACAAGTCTGAAACTGGTGGATTAGTAGGGTGACGGAGGAGAATTACAGGTGACTCTGCCAGTGAGAAGTTACTGCCCCACCATAAAGTTAATGCTCCTCCAGTCAATTGTTTGTCACTCTTTTCACCCCCTGACAATTATCCCTTGTCTGGTCTAACCCTTTGGAATGCATTTCTTAACCTAGGAAGGTTGGGAAGAAAAGATTGGTTACCCTAGATCAAGGGTGGGAAACCTGCAGGCTTACAGTCACATGTGGCCTTCTGATCCTTAAATGTGGCCTTTTGACTGAATCCAAATTTTACAGAACAATCCTGACTTATATCAACTTCTTTCTAGAAAGACCAAGGGAAATGGGACAATTATGGAGTTCATCAGGAGATTCAAGTGACCTGTTGTTAGGACAAGCTTGTATTATCCACACCTGAACTAAACTGTGGATGGCTTGTATTTTAGCTTCTAAGACATACTTTATAGCATTTGCCACATGCCAGGCATTCTTCTAAGTACCTTATATGGAGATTCTTTTAATCATAGAGCCATGGTGTGGTATCTTATTGGAGTTCATTGGTAGGCTGCACTGTAGAAAGGATTATTGTTGATCACCTCTGGATATGAACTACCTGTAGATCCCATAAACCACGATGCCAGTTTATTGATTTGAGTTGATATTTATGCTCTCTATCTGAGGCATACCCTTTCCCAGAATTGAGGTAATCTGGGAATCAGGGATGCTCTTCACTACTGACTAAAGCCTGAGGATGAATGAACATACGGAATATTGTACTATATCACTGGGGATATTCTGCACAATACAGCTGCTGTCCCAACCTGCAGGCCAAGGAACAGGACTAATCTGTGATCTGTTAGGAATTGGGCTGCCCAGCGGGAGGTGAGCAGCTGATAAGCCAGTGAAGCCTCTTTTATATTTACCGGCACTCCCCATCACTCACACCACCGCCTGAGCTCCCTTCTGTCAGATCCACAGCAGCGTTAGATCCTCATAGGAGGTGAACCCAACTGTAAACTGTGTCTGTGGGGGATCTAGGTTGCGTGCTCCTTATGAGAATCTAATGACTGGTGATCCAAGGTGGAGATATTTTGTGCTTGAATCATCTCAAACTGCCCCTTGGTCCATGGAAGAATTGTCTTCCATGATACAGGTCCCAGATACCAAAAGGGTTAGTGACTGCTGTTATACACAACTGTTTTATAAAAATATGGGGAAAAGCATTCTTTTGAATAACAATAAAAATAATGTTTCTCCTGAAAATTAACTGCTTTTTTCTTATGATGTCCATCAATCACATACCCTATTTTCTTTATTGTTTTTACCTTATGATGTCCATCAATCACATGACCTATAATCCTTATTTCTTAGTGTTCTAGAAAGTTCAGACCAAATGTGGGGTCCATATCTACTCAGAGTACAAGACATCAAGAAACGAACTTTGTGTACAATCCCTACTTAGATTTCAATAGGACTCCACCTATTTTTTTAACTACTTTTTCCTTGTTCTTAAGTTTTCTTTCAATCCACTGCTTTTATCTTCTTGTATTCTATATTTCTATATGGCACTTTAAATACATTCTGGAATGACAGAGAAATGCAGGCAAAATAGGTTAAAAATTTATCTTTCCAAGAGACATAAATATGATTTCAATAGAGTGTTTGGGTTTTTTCTTCTTTAATCTACCTTGCTTTACCTTCAGAGATATCTTCAAATGAATATGAAATAGTCTTTCATTTTAGTTGGTAGAGGGGGAGGGAGAGAATAGAAAATGATGGATTATAAAGATGAAAATGACTCTTCAGGCTAACAATTGAAGTAAATATCAAACCATATTTAATGTGTGAAAATACTATGTACTATCATAAAAATTCACTGTAAGGTAAGTGTCATGAGAGCGGGTACCTTGTCTACACTTTTTATTGCCATATCCCCAGCATGTAGAATAGAGTCTGACACCCAGCAGATACTGACACAATATATTTGGAAAACACCAGTATAATACATTTGGAGTTAGGAGAACTTGGTTAATAGCAAAGAAACAATGTTAAATATTGGTTATGTAAGCACAGGCATACACAATTTAGATTCAGTTTCAGCATTTGTAAAATAAGGCTATTTGACTAAGATTCTTTCCAATTCGAATAATCTTTGCTCTTCTCAAATCCGGTGGCATAGTTAAACATGCGAATGTAAATATCTATTATAATTTGAGAATTTTGTTTTCAAAATAGAACATCCAACTGCATCCTCATTGGCCCTTGAAGATAAGAGCACAACGAGGCCAAACACCATGACTCAAAGTGAGTACAACCAAGCTCTTCTCCTAGGATTCAAAAGGGGCAGCACACACTAGTTTTACTACAACTTCTGTAATGCTGAGATTTGAGCAAAGGCCATATTTTTCATTTGATGTTGATATTTTGGTTTTAAGTTACCCTGTGGTGACTTATTTTTATTGATATGGCAATCAATAAAATGAGAGTTGGCTATTTTTTATTATATGGCCATCTTTCATTTGTCAAGTGATTTTAAGGTAATATTAAAGTTAAAATTCACAGTACTCTCAGTGATCTGAGTTGACAGGAACAGAAAAAGAAAACAAATCAATGACAGTTTTATGTTGTCATTAAACATAAACTACAGAGCTTTTGCTTAATATGCCAGCTAGTGTCCCCGCATAGGGAAGCACATCTTCAGTTTCAGATTTCCCCAGAGATACATAGATTAAAATTTTAGTGCATCAAAGCAAAGTTAAATTATAGTTTTCTAAAAAAGTTGGGCTCTAAAAATAATTTTGTCTTTCAGCAAGCAATTCCAGTGTGACTACTGAAGCCTTCAACTACACCAGGACCTCCAATGGGACAGATGCTAAGAAATGTTGAGTATAACCAGGGGTCCATTGGAGACCTGTGGCCCCCCTTTATTCATCCAACCCATATATTGAACAACAGTTATGTACTTTGTTCATAGTCATTCGCAAATGCTCACAAAGCATCTATCATCTTTAAAACAGACTTGTAGGTGCTGGAAATCCATTTGTGAACAAAACAGATCTGCGTTCCAAATTCCGGCAAAGGGGAGACGGACAGTTGTGATGAGTCCTGGGGAGGAAACAAAGTGGCAGAGGGGGACAGAAAGAAGTGGGGTGAAGGTGGTTCCATTTTAGACGGGTGATCTGGAAAGGTCTTACTGAGGAAGGTTACATTGGAACAAAGATATAACCAGTGAAGCTGAAAGAGCGATTTGTGAGGATATCTGGGGAAAGAGCAAACTAGCCAAAATATGCCTATCACTAATAAAAACACAAAGCGGGACCTCGACGCGAGGTGCAGAAATGATTTTGCTATTACTTTTCATTTAGTTACCTAACAGGGTCCTGGGTGCTGTTTTAGCAGGTACGGACAGGGTCTACCGAGGAAATATACTGCCTCCTAGTGGTAGAAGATAGAGATCATTGTGGTGGGGAAGTGGCCAGGAAGGTGGTGAGAGCAGAGGAGAGAGGACGCTGGCTGGCACATGGGTAGAACTGAATTTAACTGCTAGGCTCGTTGCCGCAGAAAGCAAACGTGGATGTGCTTCTGGGAAGCATTTCCAAAGAGGCACTTTTAAACCTTTAAATGTCTTGTATTTCTACTAGCTGAGGTTAAATCACTACTGGGAACTTATCTTTAGGAATTATAGAGCAAAAAAGAACATGTATAATACTGTTCTTTGCAGCATTATTTATTTTATCTCTTTGATGGACCTCAGGCTCCGACTTGGATAATCATCATCTTTAATTCTTGACACACTTTAATCAGCAGTCAGTGCACGACTCAATGATTTAACACATTTCTTTTCGTATATATGTTAACAATATATTAACTCAAGTACCGAGTAACTTAAAAAGCAGCATTCAAGGGAGAGGCACAGAAACATCAACTAATAAATGGACCTTAGGTTTCTGTCAAAGGCATAGCAGATGCTATGGAAAGAAGGGAATGTTCAGAAAATGGACCTGGAAATGGAGACTATTTATCAGGGAAAAAAGTATCAAAATGTGCCCCTCTTTTGCATTACACAAAAATAAACTCGATCTAATGTAAGATCTTTATATCAAAAACACGTAATAAAATAAAAGTAAATTTCTTCTTGCTTTGGAGTAGGAAAGGGCTTCACAAAGAGACGTATGTCACTAACCATAGAAAAGATTGAAAAATCAGAATAGAATTAAGAAACCTGTGTCTGTCAAATGATATCCTAAAGAAAGTAAAACAAAAAACAAGCTGTAATCTTGAAGACGGTATTTACCATCCATGTGAGTTTTTAAAGGATCAAGAATTTTCAGAGGGTGCCAAAAAACGTATCTACATTTTAAGAAAGGAAAATACCATAAAACTGTAATATGCATGTCTCACTGGCTTCTGCAATCACAAGAGATGCAAGATGCAATATACAAGATGACAAATATTATCAGTACATATTGAGTATTACGATTTTAATATGGTATTTTCCTTTCTTAAAATGTGTATACATTTTGGGGGCACACTCTGTAGAATTGACAATGGATAGAAATTTTATATCAAGAGTATATAAAGAATGTCTACAAATTGGGTGGCACCTGTGGCTCAAAGGAGTAAGGTGCCGACCCCATATGCCAGAGGTGGCGGGTTCAAACTCAGCCCTGGCCAAAAACTGCAAAAAAAAAAAAAAAATCATACCACGTGTTGTCTCTTGATATTGGTATTTACTTTCTGACTCAATGCAGTGTTACTATGATTCATTCATGCTGTTGTACATGGCTGCCATTCCCTCATTTTTCATTGCTCTATGGCATTATATTATATGAATATACCACAATTTATCTTCCGCCACCTCCGGAGGTGAACCCGCCACCTCTGGCATATGGGGCCAGCACCCTACCCCTTTGAGCCACAGGCACTGCCCCGGTATGATAGTTTTTAATAAAACTTAAAAACAAGTATATTCAAACACCATATGAGTTAGTATAATATGTATGTGATAGACAGGATGGGACAGAGAGAAAGCATTTATGGAGTTATTAATAATAACCTAAAAAAAAAAAAGGAGTCCTTGACATCCTCTGCATCAGCATGAAGCATAGAGGACACCTAGGGTGCTTTCTATCCAGAAACAGGGAAAGCGAAAGGGTATTGCTCGACAGTCTCGGTTTATAACTTAAACACAAACACACTCTTGTTCTTTTTAATAGATTTAATAATGAAATAAACTACTGCAATTCTTCACATTTTCTGTCCTTCATTTGAAAACCTCATTGATCCTCAGACATCTCTTTACCATTCTTAACCTAAAAGTAGCCTTAGAAATGGTCAAATCTAGAAGTCTAAAGCCCAGCACATGATTTTGCCCTGGTAGTGTGGACCCCACCTTCTTACTTATGCAGGAATAAGAGCTTATAAAATAGTCAGCATTTTTCAATCCATAGCTGAGAGAAAACAATTCCCTGCAGTAAGTTGCTCTATTTATAATCTTACATAAAAACACATTACCGTCCAACAAGTTAATATTGATTGCTCACTCCCAAACCATTTTTGAAACATGTTTCTACTCGTTGGATGGGGCTGTAATGTGACATCCAATATTAGATGATGCATTTGGCAGGATTCATGCCAGGCATTGGTAATGGGATTTTTTTTCTCTCTCAGTATGTTTATTTCAATAGATTAATGAAATGTTTAGAGGCCGAGAAAGAACAGATAGATTTTTGGTGAAATAAACCCATTATCAGTGGTTCTAGGACCCTTCCTATTTGCGAACATGTTCCATGGGCTATTTGCTTTATGCATGCATTTCACATAGCTCATATATATTTTGAATGTCACTACAAGATTTTGTGTACATTGTATTTACCTACATTTATAAGAATATGCTTTAATATATTCTTTTGTTGTCATTTTATCAACTTGAAGAGGTCTAGGCTGGAACTCACGAATATCGGAATCTAATTCTTGTTCAGCTTCCAGGTTTCCTACCATCTGGAACAGAAATGCATATTTTACTTTGTCCCCCTGTGAAAAGGGGCTACTCAATCTGACCATCTAAGTACTCAGAATGTATAAGGTTAATGATATCCTGGAACACATTTTCATCCTGACACTCAGGTGATCAGTCCATGGAGCAGAAAATTGACTCATAATTACTTTTTACTTTCTGGTTTCCCTTGCCATACATCTGGTCCAGTGTAGCTTAAAACCACACTGAAACCAGTCATTCTGTCTAAGTTAGACAAGCAGAAAAATGATGTAAGTCTCATGGGCCTCTACGCCTCCAACCCACCCAATTACCAAAATCAACAAGCCCAAGCTCACCAAGTGTGCATGCACACACACCTGGGCCTCAGAGTTCCTCTTACTAACCTCCCAAGGAGACTTTGTTCTGTTCTTTCTTCGTGCATTCCTTATCCTTCAAAATTGTTATACCCTTCCTAAATCTTTCTCTCTTTTCTTTTTTTTTTTTTTTTTGGCATTTATCAATTTTTTTTTTGTTTCAGATTAATATGAAGGTACAAATATTTAGGTTGCATCGTTTTCATTTCTAAGGTACAGTTCAAGTTGTAGTTGAGCGTACACCCAGGGGGCTTGCTGATCACCCTCACATTGTACATTAGGTGAGATCCTGCCAACTGCCCTCCCTCCTCCTCCCCTCTCTTCTTTCCCTCCTCTCCCCTCCTCCTTAGTAAACTATGCCTGTGTTTTTCTTTCCTGTGGGTGTGTAGTTGTTTATATGTTGCTTTCATATTAATATTGAGTATATTGGATACTGTTTTTCTCTTCCTAAATCTTATAAGTACATTTCTTTTTTTTTTTTTTGAGACAGAGCCTCAAGCTGTCCCCCTGGGTAGAGTGCTGTGGCATCACAGCTCACAGTAACCTCCAACTCCTGGGCTCAAGCAAGTCTCCTGCCTCAGCCTCCCAAGTAGCTGGGACCACAGGCGCCTGCCACAACGCCTGGCTATTTTTTGGTTGCAGCCATCATTGTTGTTTGGTGGGTCCAGGCTGGATTCGAACCCGCCACCTTAGGTGTATGTGGCTGGCGCCTTAGCCACTTGAGCCACAGGCGCTGAGTCATAAGTACATTTCTTATCCCTTTTTCCCTGGTCCTCACTAGTTCTCAAGCTCTTGATAGCTGTGTCTAATAATTTCATAGAAACCCTTTGTATTTTTCATAGAGAGAGACTGAGAGGCTAGAGTTGAAGGACTGAGGGTCAGTGGGAGAGCACAGCAATACCAGGACCTGCAGTAATGCGGGCCCTGCTTCTATTTTAGGCTGCATGGTACTCCCTGCAGTCCTCTATCTCCACTTGGCTGGGATACTGATTCTCTAAACTCACCATTTTTGTCCACAAGTTATAAAATCTCAAATGTCTTGGCTCACATCTCATTCTATTCCCTTGGTCTTTAAAACACTGTTCTCCCATTCTGTTGCCTAGATATTGTAAGGAAGTTTCAAATTAAAATGTATTCATCTGATTTTAAAATTCTGTCCTCTGTTAAAATACGGGCATACCTCAAAGATATTGCAGGTTTGGTTTCAGACCACCCCAAATAAAGCAATTATCTCAATAAAGTGAGTCACATGAATTTGTTGTTTTCCCAGTGCATATAAAAGTTATGTTGGGTGGCACCTGTGACTCAAAGGAGTAGGGCACCGGCCCTATATGCAGAGGTGGTGGGTTCAAACCCAGCCCTGGCCAAAAACTGCAAAAAAAAAAAAAGTTATGTTTAAACTACACTGTAATTTATTAAGTTTGTAATAGCATTGTGTCTAAAGAAAATACACAACTTCCTTACAAATGATTTATTCCTAAAAATTGCTAATGATCATTTGAGCTTTCATTGAGTCCTTATCTTTTTACT